TTTTTTTTTTGCTACCGGGGATCGAGCTTAGGACCTTGTGCCAAACCATTTCTTTTTGACACAAGGTCTTGCTGAATTACCCAGGCTGGCCTTGAACTTTCAATCTTCCTGCCTTAGCCTGAGTAGCTGGAATAATAAGTGTATCTTGTTCTGTCCAATCGTCTTGATGAGCAGAAGTGTATCTAATTTTTCTGTGATCTGCCAATGGACTCCTGGTATATGTGGGGAAAGCTAGAAAATCTTTGTTGTTGAGACAAGGTCTCACTATGTAGCCCAGGCTGGCCTCAAACTCATGGTGATCCACCTGTTTCAGCTTCCTGATGTTGGGATTATAAGGTGCACACCACTATGCAAAGCTTCCTAGAAAATCTTGAGTTCATCAGGTATGTGTACAGGAGGGGAAAAAGCTGAGTATCAGGCAGCCAGTGACTAACAGAAAGTGGAACTGAGGTACTAAGGATGGAAGGCAGAAATCTTTTTTGTTGTTTTTGCACTGCTGGGGATTGAACTTGGGCTTTATGCATGATAAGCAAGTTTCTACCTGTGAGCCATACTCTGGCCAAAATACAGAAATCTAGTGTGGCAGTACCTGAAATGTTTATATACCACAAGGCAGAACACTGACGTGTTCCACACCCTCCTTTTCTGTTGCTGTTGGCAGTGCTGGGGACCCAGTGCCCAACCCCAGCTATCCCTCAGCCTATTTTACATCTCATTATTCCACTGGTTCTTAGCCCAGTCTCCTCTGATTCTCAACATAACCAGCAGTGAAAATACTGACCTCTTGCCTTTTCTGTTTCTGTTGGGGACACTTTTGTTCCCAATGTGAATGCTTTTCTTAACACTTTTTGTGCGGTGCATAATTTTTTATGGTGAAATTTCATTTTTATTAAAAAAAAAAAGCTTGAAGAAATGATGTTAAATTAAGAACAATTCATGGTTGGACAAAGGAGAATCAGAATGTAGCTAGTGGACCTGGCTTGTGCTCCAGGACCACAGAGTGAGCTGCTGTCTGTTCCTCCCTACACCAGACCAAGCATGCACACCTTTCCAAAGGCTCCCAAAGAGAAGAGCCAGGTTAAAACAACACAACACACCCCACGTGTTTCCTTTACCCAGCACCATTTAATATATGGGTTTGAAAAAAAAATCAAAATAGGAAATATTTAAGAACAACACATTTAATATTCACAGGATTACAAATTAAAAACATACATTTTTCATGCTATAAGTTTTCAGTCTTTCTTGAACAACACAGAAAAGTGTTTCAAATTTTGTGTTTAACAAGATGATGATCTCTGCCACCATCTCCCCACCAATCTCAACAAAAAATTGAAATCTAGATACATGTCATTACACGAGAACTATACAACACACCTGTAAAAAGCACCTAACCTGCTGACTACTGAGTGGGTGGGCTGAGGGCAGCAGGGAAATGGCAGAGTCTGCTTCACTGACTGCACTCTGATCTGAGGACACAGGGCCATGCCCCATGGAATCAGAACACCAAGACACACCTCAATCACTCCTGCGAAAGGTTATACCAATACTTATGGAAAGCTTATAATAGCATGGGAGGATATTCAAGTTATAAACTGAACTGAAAAAGTAAAATACAAAAGCATACGCATTGCATGATCTTAACTATGTTAAAACCAATCAACCAAAATATGTCCTGTAAAAGGCTAAAAGAAACTAGCTCAAAGGTTAACAGTGATTGTATTTAAGTACTACATCTACAGTGATCTTTTTTTTTGAGACAGGATCTGGCTACTGCTATGTAGTTCAGGCTGGCCTTGTACTCATTATGTAGCCTAAGCTGACCCCAAACTCTCAGCAATCCTCCTACTTCAGCCTACTTTTCTGTCTTTCTAAATTCTTCTGTGCTAGGATTTTTTACAAAAGCACTATTAGTTACAAAAAGTAAGTCTGATAGACGTATTAAATTTGAGTTAGTGACTCTATGCCCAGCCTTTAAGAAAGGATGTGTGCATTCACAAAACTACAACATTCCAGGACACTCCATGACAAAATGTTAGAAGGAACTGGCTGGAGGTGGAGGACTTAGGTCTTTTCCTCCCGCCAAGTGCAGTGTGACCAGGTCCTACAGATAAAGACACTGAACCAAATGGAAATGCCATGGATTTACAGAAAGAACTGACATACTCACATCTGATGACTTGTTCACAGCACAGCTGTTTTACACTAGAATTACTTTTGTGTAGATGTCAAGTTACAAAAGTGCTATTATCACAGTAACTGTGAAAACCCAATCTTGGTTTAGAAAGAAACAAAACAGCATTACAAAATGAGTGAACCAAGAAATGTGGGAGACTTAAAAAATTAGAAAGAGTGCTTTCTATAAAAATGATTGTTTCTCCTTTCTCCTTTTTTTTGAGACAAGGTCTCACTATGTAGTTCAGGCTGCCTTGAACTCACTGTGTAGTCCAGGCTGGTCTCAAACTTGAGGCAATCCTCCTGCCTCAACCTCCTAAGTGCTGGGATCACAGGCGTATGCCACCATGTCCAGCAAACAATGATTCTGTTTAAGACATTTGTTTTTCATAGGCTAAAGTTGATCCTGAACAGAAGAGGATGCCAACCCTCTGAATCCTTTCCACCAAAGCATTCCCAAGTTTGCTCACTGACACACACTGTCTTTAGACTCAGGACAAGATAGGCCACTGGTAGTGACCTTTAGAGCTGCCCAATAAACTGTGAGCATGTGCCATAGGTTTGCCACCACTAGGCTTGGCACTGGGGCCATAAAAGGAGAAAGACTGCTCCCTGCCTCAGGGATGTCTCAGTCCCTGGGAGCTGGATACTTTACCAACCATAATATTAAATCAGTTCAAAGTGGAAGCCATCACTTTCTTTTGCATTGAAAGGGTATGCTGCAATTCTTACTGAATTACATATGCAAAGTCTCTTAACACTGAAACTTTTCTGACTTACTAGGAGGCAAAAACAGTATTTTTTTTTTTTTTATTTGGTAACGGGATCAAACTTGGGATCTTGAGATTTTGAGGCAGGCAGCGGAACCACTGAGCTACATCCCCAGCCCTAAGCAAAAATACAACTACTTTTTCCTGCTGAATGCTTCTAGAAAGGGCAGGGATGAAGTGACACTTACTGATGTTTGTCCCTCAACACAGCAACACCCACCAAAGTGAGTCATCTTTCTTTTAAACAAAGTAGTATATTTTACCCAAGAATGAGACACTGTAAAGCCGAGAGTAATAGCCAGTGTTCCATCTAGATAAAGACTCACTGGTACCAGCAGAAGCTGGGGTGCAGGAACACTAATTCCCATTGACCTCCTCGGTCTCCTCTTCCGGTGGTTGCCTGGCAATATGCTCCTGAGTCAGACGTGCCAGGTCTTTCTGCACATTTGGGTGATCCTCCAGATCCTCGTAGAGGGACCTGACAATGTCCAGTCTCCGGTAGTTCTCAGGCTTCACGAGGCTCCGGACGACCTGGAGGCATCGTTCCTTCAAGGTGTACACTGTAAGGCAGGAAACCAAATCCTCAGGGGCAGCCAGGCCTGGCACAAGGATGAGCAAGAGGTGCCAAGCACAGCAATGATATTTACTACAGTGGACCTCAATTTAGGTTAAAATAAATAAATAAAAATAACAAAAGCTGAGCGTGCGTGTTGGGGTAGCTGCATTAAGGGTGCTACCAGGATTCATACCTGCTGTAGTAACCACCCCTTGAAAGAGGGCTCGGCCAGCCATCCGTTTCCACTGACTGCATTCGGATGAGGAAACGCCGGCAGAGCTGGGCCTGAGCCTGAAGAAGGGCCTAGGAGGTCCAAGCCGTGCTGCTGACAAGATTACACATAAGGAACAGGCCCGAGACCACCCGCAAGAGAGCCTGGCCTGCAGGAGCCCTGGCAGTAGAAGGTGGCCAGAAGTCACCAGGATTACCACCTGGCTAGACACGCAGCTTGGACTGTGTCAAAGTGGATGTCATAAGGCAACATATCAACTAACAGGGTGAAACTGGAGTTCAGAGTAACTCAGCTCCTATTTAAACTCACTGGGGAACTTACACTTCTTTCCTTGCAGTTCTAGGATCAAACCCTGGGCCTTGCACATTCTAGGTAAGTGCTTTATCACAGAGCTACAAACTGATCCATGGATTGACTAGTACTAGAGGCTGAGCCCTCAGGGCACTGTACCTTTGAGCTACATTCCCAAGCTCCTTAGGACACCCGCCCCCACCCCCCAAAACCTGGTCACTTTTGCAAGACAGGGTCTCGCTATGTAGTTCAGGTTGCTCTTAAACTCACTATGTAGCCCAGGCTGTCCTCAAATTCTCTTGTGAGACTCCCTGCCTCAGACTCCCAAGTGCTGGGATTATAGGCATGTTCTATCATACTGGGCTTTCCCAGCCACCTTTAAAATTTTTTCATCTTGAGTCTTGCTAAGTCATCCAGGCTGGCCTCAAATTTGTGATCCTCCTGCCTCAGCCTGTGGATTACAGGTATGCCACACCACACAAGATTGAGGCCAGCCTGGGTATTTGAGACTGTGCTTAAAAAGAAAAGGCTGGGAATGTATCTCACGGGTAGAGCTCCTGTCGGTTCAATCTCCAGAAATGCAAAACAAAAAAAGTATCCTAAGGCAAAGTTACCAAACTTAACAGTACTTAAAACTTTTTGTATACCCACTTCTTTAAAACAGGATCTATGTATAAATATATTAGGTTGACTCCTGCAACGCTATAGTTGCTTTTGCAGTACTGGGGATTGAGCTCAGGGCCTTCACACTGAACTAACTATAACCCCAGCCTCTTTTCAAATTTATTTTGAGGCAGGGTCTTGGTAAGTCTAAGTCCAATCTAGAATATCATTTGAGGTTTAAACAAATAGCGAACTATGATGCCAATCTTCCATTCTTTCAAGTGACCTATCCATTGCTTATTACAACAATGTTTATAAGAAGTAAGATCGACTGTCAGTACCTGGCAGTGTGATGTTGGCAAAAATAGGCTGTCCATCAATATTCAGAGACGGCACAAATAATTCAGTCTGGTTAACCAGAAGCCCGTCGTGTGTCCCTGCATCTCTGAAGAGCCAAAGGTGACCTGGTGCACAAGCAGAGGCCATTAAGGAGCCACATCGATCTGATCAAGATATCTATCTTCTCTGTATGTCCTGACTGACATGAACTTTCTGCCTCTCAGTCTACTTAAATATCACAAAGCCCTCCTTTCCAGTAACGTCACAATGTAATTCTTACAAGAGAAAGCAGGTCTGAAACAGGCCGAGTGACTTGTCAAGGCAACACAAACAGCAGGAGAGCAGGCAAATACTCAACCATGGTCAAAGAGCAAAGCCTATGCAAAGCAGACCACTGCAAATCACACTGAACACTGCAGTTTTAAGGTCACTGGCTCCCCAAGCCTGTGCTTCTCAAAAGGAGTTGCAAAAACAGCATAAGAAAAGAAGCCAGGCAGAAAGGAGTACAACAGACACAACACATGGTGTGAAAAACAGGAAGTATGAGAACTGGAAGGGGCAGGAAGATTTCAGGGGAGATGGAAATGTTCTGATTTAGGTCTTGGTACAACTGTCAAACCTCATCAAACACTTGTGTGGGTTTTACCGTGTAAATTAGACATAAATTTAAAACAGACATCATAGGTATAAAACGAAAAGGGATAGGGAAGGCAAACCTAGAAATTTAAGATTCTGTCTAACACATTCACACAGGGCCACAGTGTGTATGTATCACTGTTGACTGGCTTTGAACCACCCGTGGTACATGCATGATTGTCCCACACTGCCCATTAAGACAGTCACATATGTACCACTGGTGGTGCAAGCCAAAGGATATGTGTTAAGGATGGTGTTCTCTCAGCATCAATGCAGCAGCACTCCTCTCCTTACAGGTAAGTGGTGGCGCACACCTATAATTCTAGCGCTTGGGAGGCTGAGGCAGAAGGACCACCGTGAGTTCAAGGACAACCTGGGCTACATAGTGAGTTTAAAGCCAGTCTGAACTACATAGTGAGAGTCTGTCTTAGAAAACAAAATAAATAAAAAATAGAAATAAATGCAGCAGTCCTACCTGGGGTATAAACCTTCTTGAAGATTTGCTGTACTTTTCAGAAATCTAAATTGGCAATTAATGTTTTCATTGTGGCAAAATACATATAAAATTTACCATTTTAACTTTTTTCTTTTTTTTTTTTTTGCAGATCTGGAAGTTGCATGCTAAGAAAGCATCTAGCATCAAACTACACTCCCAGCTCTTGTTTTATTTCTGTAGCAACAAACATGGAGCCCAGAGCCTCACACATGTTAGGCAGACAGGTGCTCTACCACTGAACTATACTTTCAACTCTTACTTTTTAATTTTTTGAAACAGGGTCTTGCAAATAGCCCAGGCTGCCTCAAATGTGCAATCTTCCTGACTCGCGCTCCTGATTAGCTGGTGTTAGAGGCATGCACCACCAGCCCAACCCATTTTCTATTTTTAAGTGTATAATTCAGTGACATCAAGTACATCCACATGGTAAGTAATTTTTAAAATTAAAACTGATATTAAATCAGGTACATGGTAGATATGGAAAACTACAAAATTCACACAGGGCCGGGAATTTAGCTTAGTGGTTCTGCTGCCTGCCTCGCAAGCACAAGGTCCTGAGTTTGATTCCTGGTACCACGAAAAAAAAAAAAATCACCCAATTTCCTATATAAAGTAGAAATGGAGGCTGAGGCAGAGGATTGAGAGCTCAAGTCCAGCCTGAGCCACAAAGTGAGGCCTTACTTTCTTATTTATTTATTTTGGTTTCTTAAGACAGAGTCTTGCTTTGTAGCTGGCATCCTTCAACTTGCAGCAATCCTCCCGCCTCATCCTCCCAAACGCTGAGATTACAGGTGTGCACCCCCAAACCCAGTCTGAGAACTTATTTAAAAAAAAAAAAAAAAAACCCGGGGAAAAAAAAAAAAAGCCTGGTGTAAAAGACTGAGACGTTGTGTGGCGCTGATGCCCTCTGCCATGTTGTGCAGCAGCTAGAGGCAGCCCCTCTGTGTTGGACTATCCCAACTTGACTGTAAGCATTGAAAACATCCTTTTTCTTTAAAAATTAAAAAAAAAGAAAGACTGAGAAGTGAGAAGCGTTAGCTTATCAAGTAGCTCAAGGAAGAACAGAACTATTAGGATCCCTATAGACAAGTTATGAAAATTAAGGAAGACTAGAACTACTCCACCTGAGCGCCATCGAAGATTCTCTTCAAGGTCTAGTTGTTCCCCTTTTTTGTTAGGTGGTTGGTTGGTTGATTTTTTGAGACAAGACCTGGCTACGTGGTTCAGGCTGGCCTTGAGCTCACTATGGAGCCGGGTGCCCCACCACGCCGCCATCCTGGAGCCTGGTTAGTCTCCTAACTGACGCTCATTAATCGTCTTCCTCCTCCAAACCACTCTGCAGCAGGGGTGAGCTATTCAGTGGGTATTTCTGACAAAATCAACCAGCTCTATTTCTCACTTTTCCCCCCTGGTACCAGGGGTTGAACTCAGGACCTTGCATTTGCGAGGCAGGCAGGCAAGCACCACTGAGCTACATCCCTGGCCCATCAACCAGCTCTATTTCCCCAGGGTAAAACAATCTTTTGAGCTTCCTTTCCTATCACCCCGCTCTGCCAAGGCTCCAGGTTTTAGCACGCGTCTGCACCTCACACTCTTATCCCTCTTAGCTGAGTCCTCTCATCCAGCTCCCCTCCTTCCCTGGTACCCACTCCCTAAGTGGAGACAAATACTCCCTCCCTCATCCAAAGGCACCCAGCCCCTGCCTAACCAGCTCAACACCAGGCCACCGGCTCAAGCCCTCTGTGTCTGTCCATGCAGTGGTCTACAAGGAGGGCGGCAGGACTCAACGGGTGCTTTAGGGATGTATCCTGTGAGGGGTATGCGATCTCGTAAGGGATAAAAACACCTTCGAATGAAAATCCCTCGGCGTTACAAAGAAGCCTCGCCACTACCAGCATCGACCTGGGTGCGTCACCGGAAGGGTGACTGCGATCCCCAGTTCCGGGAAGGCGGAGGGCTGGCTTGTACCTCGGTAGCTGTTCATGCGGCGGCCCGTGCCAGGCTGCATCGTCGGGTAGGGCTGCGGCTCGCCCTCGAAATTGAGCCACACAGGGAGCACGACGCGGGGGCTGCGGTTGCAGAAGATGACCTGGGAGGGCTCGCGGGAGTTCACTGAGCGCAACACAGGCCGCGGCGGGCCGGCCTCCTCCATCTCCCGCTGGCCGTCAGCACCTGGAAAGGACCGCTTCCTAGATGCCTCCCCCGGGCTTACACTCCGGAGGTCCGGCGCACAGGACTCGCACAATGCGCGCGCATGGGGGGTAGAGACAGGAGAACGCACGCGCAGACATGGCGACTGCCGTTTGCGCACGCGCAGACCGTCCCTCGGGGGAGGAAGACGGGAGCGCCCCTTGCCTCCTCCTTCTCGAGGCCAGGTGGACACCACAGCACTGAGGGTACAGGCTTTAAGACAGGGAGCCTTAAGAGCGGCTTTGGTGGGTCCCTTGGCGCGAGGCCGAGTGGCGACACTGATCCCTGAACACCGGGCGTCCTGGCTTCAGGCGGCGCAGCAGCCACAACCCAGCTTTTCACTTGCGCGAAGATCGTCTTTAACCTTGAATGTAGCTTTACAAATTGATGCTTTGGGTTCAGTAGGGTTTTTGCAGCTTTTTTTTTTTTTTTGGTACAACTACCCGCGTAAATAAACACTGCCTTTTTGCTTCCACCGAGAAAACTGAATACGGGAGCTTCCCTGTACACCCAGTCACCTGCTATGGCGACCGGAAGCTACTGACCCATTCCCCCCAGTGCATACGTCCCCCCCTGCCGGGAGGCGGGGCTTCCGAGACGCCACTGCGCATGCCCGGCCTCTCCCTGCTGCTGTACTATCACTCCCGCCCCTGTCTCGGCCTCAGGCTACCCGTGATGTCTGAGCTGTGCGGACACTAGTTGCGCGGGTGGGTCGGAGCCCAGCAGACCTACTTGCGACTCCGGCCCCTGGACGAGCCTGTGCTGCGTGCGTCCCGAGACTGGGAGGCCACCTCCCAAGGGTTCAACCTGCCTCCCGTCTGTGGCCTGAGCCCGTGGCTGGCTGAAGTCAACTCACCCGTTCTCCGTGTAACTGGAGGCGGCCACCGGGCAGCCAGGACTTCTGGGCTCTGACTAGCCCTTCTGGAACCTTGGTTAAATTACTGCACCTTCCTTTCTGGGCTTTATTCCTTATCTGTAAAAACGTTTAAGGTTATGTGAAGTTTCACAAACACAGGTTAAGTACTTTTTTGTTTGTTTGTTTGTTTGTTTGAGACAGGGTCTCACTGTATAGTTGAGACTGACCTGGAACTCACTATGTAGCCCATGCTGGTCTCGAACTCACAGCGATCCTCCTGCCTTAACCTTCCCAGTGCTGGGATTACAGGCGTACGCCACCACACCTGGCCAGGTTAAGTACTTTGAACAGTGCCTGGCAAAAAATAAAATCCATTATTCCTGCGTAAGGGGTTTAGAGAAAATTGTATTTATAGTTATGTATGTTAAGAAACTGGCCTATGTGCTTTGGCTCTAAATTTTTTATAAAATTTAGAATTCATTGATCCCTTATTGTATATGCCAGGAACAATAATTAACAGTGGTAGAATTCCTGGTTTAATATTTATTTAAATAATCCTCGGGATAATTTTATGTTTGTTGTTTTACTTTATTTAAGTTATATTTTGTCACCTTCATAAGCTGGTAGGAGTTTTCAACGTTTTTGGAGAAGGCCATACATGTTCCTTCCAAAGGGCCAGTCAATCTGCATTACTTCACAAAGTTTCAGCAGATGACACTCTTTCCACTAAATTAGCAGTGTGTTTATGGTTATGTTATCTTTTTTAAAATTAAGTTTGTTGGTACATTTTAGGTATACATTATGATCACATTCAGCATTGGGATTTTGTACCTGTACATGATATATCGTGGTTCTTGTTTTATCCCATTCCCCTTCCTTCTCTCCCCCCACATCTTTTAAGGCAGGATCTCCCTTTGTAGTTCAGGATGGCCCTGAACTCACCATGTAGTCCAAACTGGCCTTGAACTCCCAGCAATCGTCCTGCCTCAGCCTCCAGGGTGCTTGGATTACAGGTGTGCACCACCACACCCAGATCTAACATAATTTTCTTTTTTTCCCCCTCATTGAGTTTATTGGTACATTTTAGATATACAGTACAGTTACATTCATTATTGGGATCTTGTACCTTCACATAACAGGTCTTGGTTCTCGTTTTTTCCCCCCGCTGTCCCTGCCCTCGCTTCACCCCCTCCTCTTCTCCCCATTTATAAAAACTTTATTTCCATTTTTTTCATTTTCTCCTATTTTTTCTTTTCCCTTATTACCTTAGATATATTTGCACCTATGTTTATAGCGGCACAGTTTGTAATAGCTAAAACTTGGAAACATCCCATTTGCCTATCAGTTGGAAACTGGATAAAGAAGATGTGGTTTTTCTATAAAATGGAAAATTACTCAGTCATAAAGAATGAGAAATTAGATTCATTCATAGGAAAATTGATACATATTGAGGATATACTCCTACGTGAGATAAATAAGTCACACGTAAATACTGAAGAATTTCTCTGGTGTTAATAAACTGTAATAGTACATAAGATCCTAATGAGATAATTGACAATGTAAAATAGGAAGAAAAGGGCTAAAGGTGTAGGGAAAGTGGGTAACATAATTTTCTTTCTAAGCCTTTTCAGAAGAAAAAGGAATTACTGAAACTATGCACACTTTATAGCGTCTCTCCTAGTCTTATCTTTATTGGTTGCTTAGAGCCATACAATTTTTGCACAATTGAATTTGCAAACATTGAAAAAAAATGTAACCCCCCCCAGAACACCACATACAAACACATTTTATCTGTACCTAATACCTCACATATAGCTGTAAGCAAATATAAATGAAACTACTGAAAGGGAATAGTGACACCGCTCAACAACTAGGCCACACACACACACACACACACACCGAGAGGTCAGAGTGGAGATTTTATTCAAGGGGTGGGAGGAGAGAGATAGAGCAGAGAGAAAGAGCAGAAAGAGAGAGGAGGAGGAAGAAGAAGCAGAAGGAGAGAAGAGCAAAGAAAGGAAGGTCCTTTTATCAGTTTTGGGCTGGGCTGTTGCTTATTTATGAGGAGTGAGCTACTTTTAACCTGTCACAGACCAGGTTGCTGTTTATGGGTCCAGCCCTGCAGAAACAGGTTTCAACTTCTCCAGACCGCTGTGGCCTTGCGGAAGGGAAACCAGAGATAAAGGCATGAGGTCATTTTAGGAGCCAAGATGTACCAGGAGAATGCAGCCTGTGAGGCGGTGTCACAGCATACTTTAACATGATCAATTCCCTAACAACTATTAAAATCAAAGGGGAAAAATTCCAGGAAAAAGAGAGGAAAAAAAAAAAAAAAAAGATTCCCAGGGGGTTGGTCGTGCGTAGCTCAGTGGTAGAGTCTGTTTATCATGCCAGAGGCCCTGCATTCAATCCTCAGCACCACCAAACCCCTCCTCCCAAAACAAAACCCAAACACACCCAAACACAAACATTCTAATAGTCGCACAGCATAATTAAGGTTCTGAAAAAACATAAATTTAATTCAGCTGTCTATATTAGATGTGTTGCGTTTACTAAGGAGCCATGAATATATAATTTCTTAGACTTTAATACTAAGAAATAATTCCATGAGATTCAAAATGGGTAGTGATCTAGATCCACTCAAAATATCTTCTGAACAGGGGAACAAAAGTAGTAAATTTGAGAAAACAATGCTCAAATACTTGGCTTCCAGTAAGTACACCAGAAAAAGTAACCAAGAAGTGTTGACAAACACTGTGGCTGGAATAGCCAAGACATTTCCCAAGTTTAAATTTAAATTTAAATTTCCTAAATATATAGCTATTAGACACATGTGCCAGACAGCTACTGATGCTAGAAAAATATTTTAGCATTTTAGAAAACCCCTCACAAATTCAATCTTAAACAAGGATACTTAGTGATTTAGCAAGATCCAATCTCAAAGCAAAACAAAACAAAAATTTAAAAAGGGCTAGGGATAGCTGGGCGTGGTGGTGCACACCTGTAATCCCAGCACTTGGGAGGCTGAGGCAGGAGGATCGCTGTGAGTTCAAGACCAGCCTGGGCTACATAGTGAGTTCCAGGTCCGTCTCAACTACATAGTGAGACCCTGTCTCAAAAAACAAAAACAAAAAAGGGATAGGGATGTAGGTCAGTGAAAAGGCCTTGCATTCAATCTCTGGTACTGGAAACAAGAAAACCTTCAACTTTTAACCTGTTTTCTGCTCATTATGTTTCAGTAACAATTCTGACAATACATTACAAGTAACAATGAAGCAAGATTAAATTTTCTAGTTGTCTCCTATAAGTTAGTTATTTTCTGTTTAATGTGACATTTTATAGAGAATTCAGCAGAATAGGTTTATAAATTAAGGCTAAGGAGTTCTAAAGACTAAAATTTAAAGCACAGACTATAATCTTCATGACATTGTTAAAAGCTAAGATTAAAACAATACAAAACAACCCTATTTATTTCCCACATCTTTTGCCAACCACTCCCTCCCCAAAGAGTGTGGTATTTTAAATGCAAACTACTGGTAAGGAGTGACAAATTCCATCAGCCAGTGCAGAGTATGTTTTCACATAAGCGCCCACAATCTGTACTGAGCACCACTGGTAGACTATAGGCGAGTGGAGTATTTCCAAAGACGGGGGGTCAAGACCTGTTCCATTCACCCTTCAGCCCCACAGGCTCAGACTGAGCTCTCTTCTTCTTTGGGGTCTCCTGTGCCTTTCTGCTCTGGAGATGCTGCTGCTTTAGCTACTTCTTTTGACTTTCTCATCAAAATCCATACTGGTCTCCACCTCTTTTCCTTTGTTTTTCTGCTTCTCCACTTGTTCTTCTTTTGCTATAAATCGATAAATGATGACACCTGCAATGATCAGGATTACGCCGTGTGCCCAGTATGTGGCGGGGAGCGGGCTATATTCGGTGCTTGTTTTTCTCAGGGCCTAGGATGCTCACCAATCCCAAGGACTGGCCGACCTGGCTCCCTGCCCACTCTCACCCCAGCCACCCCTCCCTATTTACAGAAATTCTGTTTTCTTCCTTCTTTTTCACCCCCTCACCAGCTCCTCTTCCCCTTTGAACCTTTTCTTCCTACTTCACATTATCTATCACACATTTTGGTCCTTATTTGCACTTTAAGTTTGTCACACCAGAGAAAAAAATTTGGTGTTTACACATGTGTCCTATTCATTTCACTTAAGAGTATGGTCTCAATATGCATCCACTTAGCTATAAATGTTTCTAGTTTATCATTCTTTACTCCGTTTTGTTAAAAAAATTATCCAGTCACCAGTTGATGAGCATTTGGGCTATTTCCAAGATTTAGCTATTACAGACTGTGCTGCTATAAACATGGGTGTGCGTATGTCACTGAGGTATGATGCTTTTAATTCTTTTTTTTTAACCCTTAAATATACAATGTGATCGGTGTGTTTATTTTCCCTTTTAGTGGAATTTAAATTTTAAAATGGAAAACAACATATTACAGTAAACACACACCCTAGTAAACATAGTTGTGACTTTTATGATGTTTTTACAATTTTTTTCATATAATTTTTTTGTTCCAACACTATTAATCACAAAAATAACCATCTCAGTGACACTTAACAAGTAACATAAATTTCAGTTGATATGCATTCTGTGCTGGGAAACATCCATGCATAGTCACTGCACTTCAGAGTGTTATGCCCTAGTGGGGGAAGTCATCAAAGACCACCAAGGAGTCAGGTCCGATGCAATTACAAGAGTTTATTGCAAGCTCGAGCCTGGACCCTGGGGTGTCACTGTCACAGCGGCTTCAGACCGAGAGCCCAGATCCATCTTTGAAGCAGGATTATATAAGGTTAGGGAGACTTTTCCTTTTTATAGGTTCTATTTTTAGCTCTTGCTTACTATTGGATATTTGAGGGGTACTGGGAGGGCACTTACTGGAAAATTACTAATACCTACGTTCACAGAATCAATTCCTCTTTTTAAAGAACATCTGATTAAACAAATTCTATAATTAACAAAGACTACATATGTAAGCAGTGACTAATGTCTATATTAGCAGTGGCTACCTATGTAAGCTGTGACTAGTACCTATGTTGGCTAAATCAATTCCTCCTTTTAAAGAACATTGATTATTTTAAGCAGGAATAATTCATCTTTAGATCATTAAAAAGAGAAACAGAAACAGGGTGGAGATGCCCTAAGACAGCTTGCCCTAAAAAGAGGAACAGAAACACAGGGAGACTGTCATACAGAATGGAATTTTACAGAATGGAATTTTTGCAGCTCTGTTCTGGGCAAGAGGAACAGAAGTGGGCAAAGGGCACAGAGGGAGCCCACCTTGACCTGAAAAGTTGGTCCTTACAAGAGCACTAAATAGTTCATGATAAAACTGTGACCATCTTCATGAAGAATGAAACTTTAAAATGTTTAATAATGGATCAGTCAAATGCATATCACTTTACTGTATAGAACATAACCCACCAAATTAAAGTTAGGGAAAATTTTCTTTTTAATTAAATTGATTATTATTTTTTTTATTTGTTGAAATGTTCCCCCATATTCTACCCCAACTATATAAAATGTATGAACTGTTTGTATCTTCAGTATTCACCCAAATGTATTTAAAGAAAAAATAATGAGGATATCTTGCTTTCCTCATCAAGTATTTCTAGTTTGGAAAATGACACTTTAAGCAAAAACAGAGGAAAAATAAAATGAATGTGTTATTTAATGAGTATATGTGAGGCAAAAGACACAAATTCTCAGGTGAAGTTTGTCTCTTCTAAGTTGTTACTCAGAAGTGAAAGGCAAATGAGGTTTCTTTAAGTACACAATTTATAAATATTGAAACAGCAAAGTCTGCATGATTATTTTACATTCTTTCTGAAGTGTGGCTCTAAAAGTAGACTGACAATTCACATAATTAAGCAAACTGAACTTTGTAAATGTATAATAAATTTTAAGTGGCTGGCATTCAAATACTGACTTTGGATGTGGACACGGATGCCATAAATGATTAAATCTTTGGGCAGCTTGGCTTTTTGATGATTTACTCAGGTGTTCAAGCAGAAAGTGTATGATTTCTTTTTATTCAACAAGCTGATCTACAAGTGGATAATTTGTAGGATAAAGGAAATTCCAAGTTATGTATGTGTACATAAATAGATATAATACACATATGCAACCATTAAAATAGTAATGCAACATAAAACCCCTCAATGCCTGCTTGCTGATAGCCAAATCTTAGTCTTTTTCAAAAGTGACATAATTTATTTGTTTAAAAGTAAAACTTTACTGATACAATGATGTTCCACTGGATTAAGGATAATATGCCAATATCATTCTAGAAGATGAAATAACTATGACAAATATTAAGGTCAGATATAACAGATTCAACTCAATGAAACTTCATTTTTTATTTTTGAAAAATTTTTGCTTTCTCCTAGTATCATTTTTAGTTCAACTGCTAATTTTTACTTCAGCTTACTAGTGATGCACTAGCTAAAATTTTATTCTAACAAGTATTAGTTCTATTGAGCTCTTAAACTTGAATCTTTTTAAAAAAGAAGAGTCAATACAATCAGCACAGACCTTTTCTACCAGTTTCACTTCCTAATCCATTTCTTCCTCAGTGCTTTATTTTTATCCTTTATAATTTCATAGCAAATTATCCAGATTACATCTGGACTAACTAGTGATAGTTATTTAAAATGCTATTTTGAAGAAGTGTAGAGTAAATAATTTTGGTGATCTGTAAGACAGCTGCATGTAATGTGTACTGTATTATAACAGCAACAAGCCCTTTATAAAAACCAAGGACTCCTTCCCCCTACTTTATAGTATTGATACAGTCTCTCCCTCATACTGTGTATTAATTGGAAGCACTGCATAGCCAAGGTCTGTATTGTCAATTACTGTGCATGTTCCTTGAATGTGAAGGTGATGCAAAATTTTTTCCAGTGGGAAGAGTCTAACATCAGTGCAAAGACTGGTAGCAAAGTTAGCAATAAGTTCTGGAAAATAAGCATGCAACATACTCTGCACAGGGCTACTACTTTCAGCTAGGTGGTTATTTTAAGTCTTTCTCTTCAGAATTAGTGGGACAAACTTCTGAATTATTGAGCTGATGATGTAGTGAAGAACTCCATGCAGCACCGTAGGAAAGATCAAGGAAAGAAGAGGAAGGAGTCATGAGGCACTCCCAAGCCTATCACCCTTCTGATTCCTTCTTTCACACATTCCAAAGTGCCAGTATTGTCTCGAATTATCTCACTCTGGACTGTTTCCATTAGACTTGCTAAATAAAAAGGCATTACCACAATATAAATTATGGCTTTCAGTAGAAGGTGTTCCCCTATTCGTTTAGGATTCCATTTGTGTGAAACCTCCCTTGGCAAAGGTAGAAATTCACTAATTATGCCTTCTGCTCCAAGTGTGACTCCTCGGACAATGCATGTACTTCCCATTTCTTTCCAGAGGGGTCTGGGTCCCTGAGTTTTGTTGAAGCTGTACATAATGTTGATGACTGTAAATGGAGTGAGATGATAATGCCTAGCATGGTAATTAACTTGACATTGGAGGCATAGAATGATGAAAGAATGAGCCAATACATTTTCTGTGAAGAGATATGCAAGTCCAATACCAAATCCAGCAAATCTATTCAATGGTTCACTGCTCTGCCCCTGCAGCTGCCACTGCCTTGCCGCTGCCGGGAAAGAATTCCTCTGCCGGGGCCCTCCAACGGGGTGCAGGTGGAGGTTCACACCGTAGGTCGGGCTTTTCTCACCCCAGTGGAGGTTGTGGCTGCCCGGGGTGTCTAGGGGAGTCATCATCCAACGGCCTAGGTCTGACCTGGAGCTGAAGGACCTTGCAGTGAAAGCGACTCCAAACCCCTGCTCATCCCAGGCACCACCCCGGTAGCCCAAGCCATTGAATCTGTCTGGGCCCCGCAGATGCATTACAGCCAGAGCAGGGTAAGGCGGGCTCACCTGGAGCCCACCGCAGCTGGGGCCTCAGCAACCTAGGGCCACACAGTTTTCTCCACTGGGCAGCTGCGTCTGGGGAATTCTGACAACCGGAAATCACAATTCCATGATTTTAATTTTTTTGGGAAGATACCCAGCAGGGAAATGGCTAGGCCAAATGGAATGTCTAATTCTAATTTTATGAGGAATCTTCACATTGATTTCCTCAGTGGTTGCACCAATCTATACTCCCACCAACAGTGGTCTGATTGTTATCTTTTTTCTTTTCTTTTTTGGGGGTGGGGTGGGTGGGGGGTATTGGGGATTGAACTGAGGACCTCATGCTTGTGAGGCAGGCAGTGCCACCACTGACCTAAATCCCTAGCCCTGGTTATGTTATCTTAGTGAATCTTAGATTCTGTTTACACAGACACTTTAATCTGCCCATCACCTTTCAGAACTTGCTTGTTTTATTTCATCTCCTAGAGATTATCCTTTTTTTTTTTTTACAATAAACATTTCTTTCTGCAACTTATTTTGTCTCTTACCCTTACCACCTCTGCATCTTTCTTTACAGAAGGGAGCATAAGGAATCAAAAGTGTCATAATAGAGAGAGAGAGAGAGAGAGAGAGAGAGAGAGAGAGAGAGAGAAGAAAAGACAGAAAAAATGTTGCTGGGAATCAGTAGGCACAAAAGATAAAAAAGTAGAACCAAAGTGTTTGTATATTTATGTATACAAAGTGATAGCACTGGACCTAAGCATAGACTGCATACACATTGCTTGGGTTAGAGTTCTCTCATGGCCACTTTTTACCTGCATGCCTTGGACAGACTCTTCCTTCTCTGTTTCAGGATCTGTATTTATAATAAATTTGGTGCACTAAAAATAGGTCCTGCCTCATAGATTTGTTGTGAAAATCACCAGTATCCTCTAACCCATAGTAACTGGTGTGTATCTTGTTTTCAAACCATCATCACTAATTGTCATCACATTGCCACTTGGTGAGGTAGATGTTCATTTTCCTTCCTTTACAAATGAAACCAAGACTAAAGCCCTGGCTGGGGATTTGGTTCAGTGGTTCTGCTGTCTACCTCGCAAGTGAGAGGGACTGAGTTCTATCCCCAGTACCAAAGGAAAAAAAAAAAAAGACTAAAGCCCTGAGGAACCTTTGTGTTTAGTGTCAATCACCTTGCAAGTGGCCTACATGGCAATGAGGAAGTCTGACTGCCCTTTCCACAGGAGCCCTCATGTAGGAAACCCTACAGATCCCCATCAGTAAGTAAATCCCATACTTACAATACAGACTACTTGTGGCCAAGGAAATTTTGTTTTCTGATGCAGTACATTATAGTTGATTACACATTTTTCTAATTTTTTTCTTTTTAATGGACTCTTTAGTTCTAAATGCATCTAGCAATAGTAACAATGCTCTCCTTCTCCAGCTCAGGTACACAAGATCTGCTGTTCTGTCTCATGTGAGCACTAGAGGAAGCAGTCAATCCTGATGGACTTCATCTATGTGTACCACATCTGAAAGGTAGGGTTATTAATAGGACCTTTATTTTTAAGGCAGGGTCTCCCTTTGTAGTTCAGGCTGGCCATGAACTTACAACATAGCCCAGGCTGGCCTTGAACTTACTACATAGCCCAGGCTGGCCTTGAACTCACAGTGATCCTCTTGCCTTAGCCTCTGGAGTGCGGGATTACAGGTATGCACCACCACACACAACCTTCTTTTCAGGATGTGTCTAGGATTAGACACACTGTACATGTAAAGTATCTAAAAGACTGGCTGACATTTGATAAATGTTCTTTAAATGTTAGCTTTTGTTACAGTTTTAGATGCAACACACTAAATAGGAATGTCTGGGGCAACCTGAATTCAGATATTGTGCTGGCCATTTCTTAAGGATTTTTATCTTGAGGCCTCTCTGCTTTTTTCCTGTTATGCAAGTTTAGGACTTTATTGAACTCTCTCCCTGATTTTTCTTTATGCCCTCACCAAATAACTTGGATGGGGGCTAGGGATTTAGCTCAGTGGTTTTACCACATGCCTCACAAGTGCAAAGTCCTGAGTTCAATCCCTGGTACTGTTGCAGAAGGAACTGATAAATGACACACAGAGATGCAGAAGTGGGTAAAACAAAAAAAGTTTACTTTGCTAGCAAAGGGTCAGCCTGCACCAAAGGCTGTGCCAAATGATTGACCCTGGGCTGAGTGGCAATCTGTCTTTGACAGGAGTTTTACAATCATGACCTCATTTTAGGTGATAAGATATTCTAGTTCCCATCACAAAATCATGGTCACAAGATAGTTCAATGTTAGCCCAAATGTAGCATTTTCTTTTAGGATGTTTATCTTATCTATTCCAGCCCACAAGAGTGGGGGTAGGGTTAGGAAAGCAAGATTGGTGACGTTCCTTCCATTTTAACGTTTTTTATTTTCAACTATTTACAAAAGTACTCTCTATCATTCCTCCCTTTGTCTCTGGGGGGTAATTTCTTATCCTTCTTTGAATTTATTTCATATTTTATTATTCCACATAATTAGCATTTGATAATGTTGGGCAGCAGTTACCCTCTTGTGCATGAGTTTCGATATCCATTTAATAGTTTTAAAAATTATATATTTTTCATCAAACCTATCATCTTTTGGTTTATAGATTTTTAATCTAAAAACAAAATAATCCATAGCCATCTGACAGAATAAGAGTCCAAACTATCTTGGTTGTATCCTCATTTTTTAGTCATGCATTGACTGTGTGCCTCCAGAGTGATGAAAGCAGGGCTTTGAGTGTGTTGTTCTTTGGGGTCAGTTTGTGGAGTCCTCTGGATAATCTCATTTCATCCTGGAGTAGTGGATCCACTGTTGGACTTCAGCCACCTTGACAGCTGTGGGAGTAACCATAAGTATCTCATATGGCCCTTCCCATATGGGTGGTAAAGGGGTATTTTTCCAATTTTTAACATAAACTTGGTCCCCTGGTTTTATCAAATGGGCAGGAGTTAACATAGGGAGGTCCTCCTTATTTTTAATTTGCCCCGTATATTTTGGAATACTTTTCCCAATTCTAACAATTGTAATTCCAGAGTGGAAGAGCCTGAGATGAATTTCCAGTAAAGTCTCTTAAAATACAAGGTGGTCTCCCCAATAAGACCTTGTATTGGGAGAATCCAGTATAATCTGGGGTGTGTCTTTCTTAAGAATGGCTAATGGGAGCAAGTCAACCCATGGCCCTGGTGCTGTCAAACAAATATTTAGTTAATATATTCTTAATAGTACAATTGTAAATATCATTTTATATGCAATAATTTACCTAGATCTTGTACATTCTCTGCAACAAATGCTGGCCTATTGTCACTGCCTATAGAGAGAGGCAGACCAAACCTTGGAATTATTTCCTTTAATAAAACTTTGCATACTTCTGAAGTTTCTGTTTAGCTGCCATTTTGGCTTCTATATCTGCCTTAGCATTGTCTTTTGCTACTGTATCTTTTCCTTTTTGGTGCCCATAGTAATGTATCATTGCTATTTTATTGGCTCCCACACTGCCTCCAACAACTGCATTATCTCCAGTTTATTTTTAATTTGTTTGCCCTCTGCTGTGAGAAGACTGTGCTCTTTATATATTATGTCATGATTATGTAAGGTAGCAAAGGCATAACAGGAGATTGTATAAACATTTACCCTCTTTCCCTTTCCCCATTGGAAAGCCTGTATGAGTGCCCAAAGCTCCACTCACTGAGCTGACCATCTGGTGGGGAGGGGTCCCACTTGGACCATTTTGTCCTGGATCATCATTGCATAGCCAGCGTAGCATACTCTGTTTTCCATGAAATTGCTCCCACCTGTGAGCAGGATGACATCAGCATCAGGCAGTGGGTTTTGTTTGCAGATCCAGATGACTCAAGAATAGCTAGTTGGTGATGCTGAGATAATAGTGGTCAGGAAGACCAGGCTCCAAGGGCAAAAAGGTAGTGGGATTCAAGGTTATAACTGGAATAAAATGTAGATGGGGGTTCACATAGATGAGGGCCTGATATTGTGTGACTCTATTATCTGAGAGCCGTTGATGTCCTTTGTTATTCAGCAGTTCTAGAACAGCATGGGGACCTGAATAGTCAATTCCTGTTCTAAGTTTAGCTTGTCAGCCTCCTTAATCAGCATAACTGCAGCTGTCAGAGCTTGTAGACAAGGGAACCATCCCTTTGCAACTGGATCCAAATTTTTAGATAGATATGCCACTGGCTGGTTCCAGGGGCCCATTTTTTGGGTGAGCATCCCCAAGGCAGTATGGTTTCTTTCAGTCATATACAAGGTAATAGGTTGAGTCTTTTCTGATATTCCCATTGCAGGGGTAGTACAGAAGGTTAGTTTTAACCTTTCAAATACTGAATCTTGTTTTTTACCCCATAACAATTGTTGTCTTTTAGGGCCTTTTAAGGCTTCATGTAGGGACTTGGCTATATCTGCAAAGCTGAGAATCCAGATTTTGTAAAAACCTGCAGCTCCTAGGAATTCTCTCAACTGCTTTTGTGCTTTAGGTTCTGGTACGGTGCTGACTACTTGTTTTCTTTCATTCCCAAAGTAACTCATTACCTTAGTAACTTGGAATCCCAAATATTTGACTTGTTGCATACAAATTTGAGCCTTTTGCCATGAAATTTTATATCAGAGTAGCATTGTCTTAGTACCCTGCAGTTTTTATTTATTTCGTACATCAGAAAATTAACAACAGTAATAATAATTATATGTATGAAATCTTATACCCTTTACTGTAATTTGGTACCAAAAGCATCTTTTTAATAAAACCTTGTTTTATTCATAGAAAATTTAAAATTTTAAAATGAGCAGTGTAAACATATTACAATAGCATGTTTAAGTAATATTGATTGATGTGTTCATTTATGCCTGTAAATGTAAACCTTTTACAACAAACTTGCAACCAACAAGCAAACATACACATTTTCTTGATAAATCTCTTCCACACAC